TCCGCAGCAAGCTTAAACATGTGAGAGGTTGATCGCGCAGAGAATCGCTGAGCTTATGTGAGTGCGTGTGTAAAAGCAGATATATTTTAGTTCTGCTGAGCCAAATAAGACAGGTCAGGGTGAAGAAGTGACAGCCAAAGAAAAGCTTACCACAAAACGGAGAAGTTATGACAAATCAGACTATAAGGCAAAAAGAAAGTGCAGCTTTATGGTTTCATGGACAAAAGAATTTCTGTGGCTGCAATATGACGAGCTAAATAACCAGGGCTGCACATAAGTGGTCCGCAGGTGCGCATTCGCTGTCAAAATAAAAAACGACGCACAAGGGTTAGGGTTAAATTTAAAAACTGTACTTTTGAGTTAAAATATATATTTATAATTTTAATAAATGACAAATTAAAAAGTGCATGAACATTTTTTTGTATCGAAAAAATATCGAACCGTGACACCAAAGTATCGAACCGAACCGAATGAATTTTGTGTATCGTTGCACCCCTAATATATATATATATATATATATATACTCGTATCATATGATTATTATAATGATAGATTTTGGTAGCCCGACTGGAAAAATCGCTAGCCCCAGGACGTCGGGCTAGCGATATTGCGAGCCCTGTATCTGATTGAGGAATCACTCATCTTTGGAAAAGAGAGTTTATTACAGAGAAATGTCTCTTTCCAAAATAAAAGCTATACTATCCGCTTCTTCTGGGCTATATTCTCAGCAGCATAAGGAGAATCATGTGCTAACAGCTGTCTAAATGACTCGGCTAAAGTTAGTAGCATGCTTGTTGTTTTTGTCTTTGCACTAGGATGATGTCGGCGTAAATGTGCAGTCATATTCGTTGTGTTCCCACTAGTGCTTTCAGGTTAATCTCGTTGAAATGACCTTAACGCCACAACACGGCAAATCTCCGTTAACGAGCTACCGCCGATCGCCCCGTGCATGGGGCTAGACGGCCAACACGTTAACGAGCTAACTGCGCTAACACACTAGTTCCCACCCATGTAATTGAGCATTGCATGGCACATCCAACATACTGTTTTACTTTAGTCCATGACTCGCTTACCTTCAGCATACGACAGAACCAAAATAATTCCAAACGCCAGATCTGAATGAGAGTGGGGGAGGTCCATGTTGCAAGGAGAGCTTAACTTCTGTCTCGCTAGCTTGCCCTGCGCTCTTCCTTCTGACTATGCTGTCTGTGTTGAGCGCTCAGTGGATCTGCGCTCGACAGTGCAGCCTAGGCGGAGTAGTCGAACACAGATTCACTGAGCGCTCAACACAGACAGCATCGTCAGAAGGAAAGTTGATAAAATAAATTACAAATGTTGTATTGTTCGATACATATGCGTACCGAACCAAAAGCACTGTATCGAACGGTTCAATATCGATACGAATATCGTTGCACCCCTAATATATATATATATATATATATATATTAACTTGCTATGACACGAAGACATTTTTCATCTACTGTCATTGCTAATCAAACCATCACCTGGTTTTTCAAGGATAAGCGTAAACATGCCAGACTGAATTAAAACTCAATTTACCCCACTTTAAAAACATCAACCACAGTAAACATAGTTTGCCAAGCCATTCAATCAACACAGTCCTGTTGCTCTAACACGTTTGTCCTGCAGAAATGAAGCGCTGCGATAAGGCTCGTTTGATGTGTTAAACTGCGAAATGTGAATTTCAATAAGGAGATATTATTTGGATGAAAGCAGAACAAATGTATTACAGGTATACGAACGAGGAGAACTGAACTATTTTGATAGCGATAGGTGAAGGGCTCCCCTGGAGTCTAGCCACTGATGCTGGTGAAGAAGAGAAAGCAGATGTCTGACGGAGACTGTGATTGTGATCCTCTCTACAACCTGAATGAGGTGGAGATGGGAAGGAGGGGCGAACTGAAAAAAAAGGGACACAGACAGAACAGGCTGATAGACGACTGGACAAGAGTAGTAAGAAAGTGAAAAGGGCCTTCTTTCCCTCAATGTTAGGCTCAATGACCACATCTAAAAGAAGACAATGTACAGAATCTGACAATGACAATGTATTTTTCAATGTGTCAAAGTGCTTGAAATGTATGTCTTGAACTCAAGTGGCATTCAGATGTGAATGTGTACTGCATGCAGACTAGGAAATGGTAAGATAACCTATCCATGAATCTGTATGTAGTTTTCTTCCAGCCTTTCACAGCCTTTCAGCACTCAAAGTTATAGGAGTGAAGATGAGATGGAGAGTGAGAACAAAGTACATGTGACCATGTGTGAGCAGGAAATGTCAAAGGGTAAAAATGGGTCAGCGAGTGGGGGTGCGATGAGAGCAGGCTGCTGAGGTATGGGTTTGTGTGTCTGGCCTTAGAGCAATGAGAGGTGGACCCACTGAAGGACCTTCTGCTCTCAGAAAGCAAATGAAAAGAAAGTAAAATGAGCAAAGATGTAGCTTTTAGTTAGTGGTTGAGTGTTGGGAGAGTCCTGCCTGCACCTCAGGGTGTAGGGGAGCAGCCTTCATTAGCTGGTTGGATGTGTACAGGGCAGTGGTGGTGTTTTTTGGAGGAGATGAAGCTCATGAACCACAACCTAACAATTACCTGCTCCCAAGGTGTGATGTAGTAACTGACCGACAGCACAACATTTCCACTGTTTCACATACAGTTAGCTTTCCTGCAAGTTCTTCAGCACCTGGCAACCATGAAGGACATGCTCAAAAAAATAGCTGGAGAACATTTTCAGGACAGATAAAGATCTTGAAGAAGTTCCTAGAGCATCATTTACAAGGTGTTGGGACTCTGCAGTTACTGACTGAGTGCGGTGTATGTGGCAATAACCTGAAGCCATTTCATCATCATGCTTTTGTGACATCGTGAGCACCTGTTTCTCTGACCCGGCAGCCATGTTTCTTGGCTATTTAAATACATGTGAAATACTGAGTACTGAGCTCTAAACTGTGCTTAGAACACGTACACACAGTAACAAGAATGGTCGGCATCATTTCACTGAGGCCAAGAGACAGCACATAAGGCAAAGGCAGGTTAACCATAAATAGAAGTCATTATTTTAGAAGGTTTCACACATGGAAGCATATGGTCTTGGCGTGAACCAGGGATTTCACAGAGGATACAATCAGTCTTTGGCTCAATCCAGGCCAGCAGCAGGAGCACCTTTCCAAAATTGGTAAAATAAGATAATTTAACATGAATGTTAACTTACGTACAGAGGTAGCAAAAGTACAAATATTTGTCACTTCAGTAAAGTATAGACACTGAAATGTACTCGAATGTAAAAGTAAAAAGTAGCTCTTTGAGGATGTTTCTACCAGATGTTTTTCGCTGAAAAGCAGACTAAACCTTGTGTCAGAAAGACAGTTTGTGTGTGTGTTTTTTTATATTTGTTTACCTGTTTGAAATCTGCATTTGAAATCAATGAAAGATTATTCGTATCACAAAGTAGAATTTGCAATCAATTTTTGACTTTTAAATATCCTTTACGTATCCAGGTAAGAGGACAAAGAGGGCAGCAGAAACTGCAACAAATATAACATCACAGCTCTATAAACATATTTTAAGTGGCCACAAAGGACTGGATTAGATTGATTAGGTATCAAACACAGAGTAGGTGCTATGCGGCAGATCATAAGGGAACTTGCAAAACAGGATATTTCTTTATTTTATAGTTACCATATCACAAATCCTGATAACTGGTGATAGATACACCAGAAATTGTCTTCTGTGTGTTATTGTTCCCACTGTTCAGATTCAAATCAACTTGAAGGTGTGCAGTGACATGAAATAATAACTGCCCACAAATGTCTTTAACCTACAGTAATAAACAAGTAATGAAAATGTAAGGAGTAGAAAGGAGATATTTGTGTAAAAACGAAGGAAGTAAAAAGCTGGTCAGAAACAAACCTTATGTTAAGTACAGATACTGCTCTGTACAGTAACAAAGTATTTGTACTTTTAACTGTAATTGTAAGGTACAGCTAAAAGGTGTATTGTAAGGTAAGATAATGTATTTTACATAGGGTTGCATGTGAGGTGCAAGGGATTATCTACTAACAAAGTCGTGTGGCCCCCATCACTGACATGCAATTTAACAGCAGATTTACTATTTATTAAGACAATAAAGGTAATGCAACACTGGATTGTAGGGTGTTTCATTGGTGTTTAGACTTTTCCCCCAAGATATTGAAGTACTAGAAACAGATCATATGTCTAGAATTAGGCATGCAGTCACAATGAATGTTGATTAACCTTCAAAATATACGCTGTCACGCTGATTTGAACATTTGCCTCCTATGGCATATGTTACTACAAGATTTGCATTGGAACATAACATAAATGTGTCCATCCTGCTGGCTAAATGCAAGGATGCCACAATCCACAAAACATCTTGGTTATGGCTCTTAACATGTGTCACCACATGGTTGTCAAGAATGTGGAGTCTTTTGCCTACACTTGTTATGGTAAAATGCATTATTATCTTTGCTATTTAAAAATATATTTTCCAGCAATATTAATCTATGTCGATATAATATAATTGATGCGTACAATATTTTTATATGGCATGCAATGTTTTTTCTTATTATATTACACTGAAAAAATACTCATCTATTTTTTCAGCGTTCATGTTGCACTATTTATATGAAGTCTAAATAGCTTTCATTTCAGCGCTATAAATCAATAACAGCACTCTTCTGCAAACCAAAAAAGCATGTTGTACATTGTAGAATAAGACGCTACTGTAATGTGTTTATCCCCATGTGCAGTTAGCCTTTTGCCTGCAGGTGAACTTATGTCTACCTCCACTGTTCCCACCAATATATGAAAACAACCTCTGCTTTGGATGCACCTCTTTAGATACTGCTGATTTGACTTCTTTTGGTTGGCTCTAACCGAGTGCCCTGTGTGTAATTTATCCATGCAGTATTAACTTTTTCCTATTTCAGAAAAAAGGAAAATGATTGGCTCTGAGATCCGTTCTCCTCTTGCGATTGGCTGTTCCTTGTTTCCGGGGCTCCGCTCTGCACTCATTTGACGTTTCTGTCGGTCTGCTCTGAGACAGACTGGAGAGAATGGCTGCCAGTGGAGGTTAGCAAAATCTTCATTGTTTTGTGTACTTAAATATTGCTTTTTAAAGTTAGAATATGTAAGTTTATGTGTTCACCAGGCGTAGCTTTACAGATTAAACGAAGGGGTCTTGACATGTTGCAGTTTCATTAAATAAGGTCAGGTTCTAAACGACTCCTCAAAACTGTTGGCTGTCGTTAGCCCGGCTATGTAGCTAACGTTAGCTGTGTGGCTAACTTTCGGCCGGTTAGCTCGCTGCCACAGCTGACTGTGTAAACACTTGTTTATGACAAGAGACAAAGGTTAGACAAGTTGTAGTAATGGCTATAGTCATCAAATGAATCGACTAGACATTGCGCTACACACTCTTATGCTTCTATAAGATGAAGACGTCAACACTTAAAACACTTCAGATTTTTGTCGCCATTTATATCTCGCAATGTTGTGTCAAAGAAAGCTTTGCTAGCATTAGCTTGGTGTCTAGCTGTCTGCTAAAAGTTAAGCTTGCTCCTCAACTAGCTAAGCCAACCGCGAGCATTACTGTATTTTATGAAACACAAGCATTCAGGCGAAGTTGTGTACAGCGTCGCTCTTCATTAGTGTCTATTCTTCAAGTTTGTTTTCAGTCTTATTAGCTAACCAGACCGTTACTGCAGGCACAGGGCAGCGATGAGAGATGTTAGCAAGCTAGCTACCACCTGGTGTGATAGTAGTTTTCTATTTACCCACCGAGAGTCTTTGTCCTGTCAGCATTGCACAACCCGAGACATTTGTTGTAAGTTTGTATACCGTATAAGTCAAAGTGAAGCTTTACAGCAGTCATAAAGTTGGTGTGCCACTTTTATAACTTGATATAACACATGTGATAAGAAAGACGTTCACTTTGTGTACGCTTATAAGGGCAGCACTGCTGTACTCACGAGTTTCTAGGCTCATGTATTGTCCTGCTGCTTTCATTCAGTATAAGAGAAAGGGAACAATCTCTCGGTACAAGTTTAGAAACAAGCAAATATAGCGCAGGAAATAGTTATATTTATACAGCTGTATCAGTCATTATATCTGGACCTTTAATCCAGGTGACATACACCCTTAAAATTTGGTCATCAGGTTTTCACACACTCCACACTTTATTTATGTTATTACACTATAAAAAGAATGTGTGGCTCCATAGTATAGTGGTTTAGAGATTTACCTAACAAAAACTATCCCTCAGTTTTGCTGTTTTTTGTATTTTCATTTATGGAACAACTGCAATGTTTAAGCTTTATTCAGTTGACATTTTTTTTTAAATAATATGTAATTAATGTTTGTATAAAGATGTATTGGTTCATATTTATGCTAATATGAATGTGGGTCAAGTATATGCATGTATATGAGGGTACCACAATGATGATCCTGCTAAATTGGCAGTGTTGAACATTGGGTACGCGTAAGCATGTGCATACTTCTTTGTACTCCAGTTTGGGCTTTGATTAATTTTTATTTCATGTAATGCACATTTCTTTGTCATTTGAGTTTATTTCCTTATATATTTGAATGTCTTTAAAATCCAAAATAAAACTGTATATCATATCATGTATATCATAGCACAAGTAAAAGATCCTCAGTTTAATCCCAGAAGGAGGCATAAATCCCCTTGGGGGCCGGAAGGGCATCCAGCTTAGAAACATGCGAAGCTACCCGCTGTGGTGGCCCCTTGTGACAAGGGAGCAGCTGGAAATTGCTTTATAATATAAAATAACTAGAAGGTTTTGTATTTCTTTTCAAGATTTTTATGTTAGAAAAGTAACAATATTTACCTACAATGTCTAAAATAATCTCCAAGTAAGTGTTGCTTAAAAGTTTGTGAAACATAGGGATTGAGTAAGATCACAAAAACTCTTGTATTTACACTCTAGTCATCTACACTAAGGAAATTCAGATATTTTGAAATCTCTTAGGCAGTGGGTTAGAGGCTGTGTGCTTTATAGAGTAGTTATGATATTAGAAATTCAAACTCAATAGCACTGTCTAAAAAAATCCCATCTTCAATGCCAGTGGAGAAAGAAAATGAAATGAAAAAACTGACAACAATACAAACTGTAACATCAATGATAACACTGTTTCTATATTATTGGACTTAGTGCAAAAAACCCACAATAAAATATGACAGATATTTTAAGATTGTCTGAAATTGTGCTTTGCTTCTTTTGACTTGGCACTATATTTTTGTTGCTGATCAAGTAGAGTTAGTCTGCTAGGTTCTAACTGCTGCTGTTGCTGTGTAGCTGCAGAAACAATTCAAACACTTCACACTGCCTATATACACTTTATATAGACACCTTTAACTAACACTGCCTATTATAACATTACACATGAGCAGGACTGATTACATTTGCTGCTTACCTGCTACATTAATGTTATCTTTTTATTATTAGTCATATTGGCTAGCCATTACCTTAATGATAACTTAACGCACAGCTAGTGCCTTTCTTATGTAAATGCTAATAGTTAGTGGTGATGTGTGTGGCTACAAGGTTAATATTCATGATAAATGTTTAATACTTTGATGTTGCTGATGGGAACTTAAATTACCTCTTAACATTTATCTTAAGAGATGTTCAGTGTTGTGAAGATTAAACTACTGTTCATGTTAGGGATGTCCCGATCATGTTTTTTTGCCATCGAGTCAGAGTCCGAGTCGTTTGATTTTGAGTGTCTACCTATACCGAGTCCCGATCCGATACTTCTATAATACATAAAAAAAAAGAATAAAGAAGAGCGAACAAACAGATCCTGGATGTTCCTCATTTTTTAAATTTAATTCACCTTATTTTAACATTTAACAGCTCTGTTAACAAACACAGCACTTTTGTGAGGTAGCTTGAACAATCAAGTAATAAATAAAATAAATTCTTCACTTATGGACTTTAGTGCAACAGTAAATATTAAAAAAAAGTTTAATATAAAAACAAATAGCACCTCAACTTAAAATATCCGGCAGGCATGTAAACAAATAAAAAAATAAAAGATCCACAGTGTTTGCAAAGCCAGTAATGTGCTTTTAGGAACTGCACTCCTAACTCTTACTGTCATCACAGTAGTAAGTTTCGCAGAAAAAAAAGTATGTTTCTCTTAATGAAAACTAATATCTCTACCTTGTCAGGTTTGAGCCTGTTTCTGTTCTCATCAAGGACGTTTGCAACGGCACTAAAAAGGCTCTCACTGTCCACAGAGCTAAAGGGGGCATGAGATACTGGGTTGCAACTGGGTCGATACTGGGAAGCTGATTAGCATGTTCTTTCCAGTACTGAAGTGGGTCGCTTTTCCAAGTTTACATATCTCACAATGGCAATGTTGTTGTCATCAACTTTATAATACCTCCAGACCACAGACATACTCGCGTTTTTCATGTGTTCAGCCGCTAGTGAGGGAAGCATGGCTGCTTGTCTGCAGCTGGTTTGTAAAATTGTGTGTCAGCTGGATGGGCTGAAGACGGTACTGTTGGTATTGATGCTCTTCCAAATGACTATATAGCGGTTAAGTATTAAAAATGCACATTGTATAAACTGAATAGGCAAATGGTACAGAGCTCTACACTGGCAGCTAAACAAAAACTTCAGAAGAATTGGTAGCTCCAGATCAGAAGCTGTGGCTGCTATTGTCAGGTATGTTAACATCATATTTAAGTCCTTTCTTCTGTAATAATCTATTAATTTTTAATTTAAAAAATGTTTCTACATAAATGAGTGTTTAAACCAGAGCACTGTTGACTATGTACGCTGTATTACTGTTTAAAGAATTTAGTAATTATCATTATTATGTGATTATGTGTGGTTTTGCAACCTGTTTACAACTCTCCTGATCTTGTGTCCCCAGGTAACCTCAGGTACCTGTCATTAGACATCCTCTGGACCTGACCTGACCTGACCTATGTCTTATGCTAACTCAGTCAAAGGGATCTGGGTTTTTTTCTTTTCTGATTCATTCTCAAAATTGACACTTTGCATTCGTCAAAACAACTAAAGATACTGAGATTAAAGTGCTTTAAATACTCATACCTCGTGCACTGTCTTTATTCTTCTCTTACAGTACATTTTGTTGGCATACTGCATGTGATATTCGTTTGTAGTAAACTAGAGCTTACATATCTAGAGTGTCTGTGAGGCAGTTTTTTTTCTGCAGCATTTTCTTAATTTTTGGGGCTCTTTGGTATATACATGAAGCATTTTGTGTTTTCATGTCAGTTATACATGTGTTTAGAGTTGACTGAAAAAATTAAAGTGAGATGATAATAATATTTTTTTCTGTTTCTGCTCTTGTTCAGAGGTAGGGAAGCTGTTACAAGTACAAAATGGGACGCTTCCAATCACCAACTACAATGGGGTAGATGCTGTTCATGCTTGTAACATCCTGCAGCAGCTCAAAGCCTTGTACGATGAAGCACAGCTCACAGACATCGTTGTAGAAGTGGACCATGGCAAGACTTTCTCATGCCACAGAAATGTTCTTGCTGCAATCAGCCCATATTTTAGGTAGGAAATTCAGCACTGCATATGTGCCTATGTCCTTCATTTGTACGTGTTTGTTTACAAATATTTATTAGTTGCTTTCTTTCTTGGTTTCACTGTCATTTTGACTAGAGGTTGTTGTTGTCTAGAAAATACGATTTTCTGATAAACTTTCTCAGTTTTTAAGATGAGAATTTATAATAATCATAAAATAATTTGTGTTTTTTCAAATGTTCCTCTAGGTCCATGTTCACCAGTGGCCTTACAGAGAGCAGTCAGCGTGAGGTTCGAATTGTTGGCGTGGAATCTGAATCCATGCACCTTGTCCTAGATTATGCCTACACATCCAGGGTCTCGCTCTCTGAGTCTAATGTCCAGGCCCTATTCACTGCAGCCAGCATTTTCCAGATCCCTGCCCTGCAGGACCAGTGTGCCCAGTTCATGATCAGCCGACTTGACCCTCAGAACTGTATAGGAGTCTTTATGTTTGCTGATGCATATGGGCACCAGGAACTGAGGGAACGCTCACAGGATTATATCCGCAAGAAGGTCAGTTGAACATAAGCCTAAATTGGTTATTAACCGTTACTTTTGGACTGTGATGTTATGAATGCCTTCAGCTATTTTATACCACAGTTTTTAGACATGTTGTGGTATCTACTTTTGTAGTTCTGCTTTCTTTATGACCAGGACATTTGGCTGCCAAAAAACTAAGGATGTACTGAGTGTTAAATTTCTTGGTTGGTACTAATATGTAATGATAATTTGGTAGACGACTGATATAATTTTTTAATTTCTTTTTTGTGTTTATGGCTTTTTCTACTTTTATGTATTCCTTGTTTAGTGGCCAGGGGAATTGATAAATAATTTAGAGTACTGTTTTATAGTCTTTCAGGTCTTCATCAAGAGCTTAAAGACTTAATGTGACACAGTTCCTGCTTTTGGCAAATGTCTTATTTTTGTTGGAACAGTGGCAGTCAACAACATTGACATCGAACTTTGTAATGTCTGAACTGAAACTCTAAAACTTCTTTTGTTTTAGTTCTTGTGTGTATCACGGGAGCAAGAGTTCCTCCAGATGACCAAGGAGCAGTTGGTCAGCATTTTGAATAATGATGACCTCAATGTGGAAAAGGAAGAGCATGTCTATGAGAGCATTGTCCGCTGGCTAGAGCATGATCTGTCTGGCCGTGAAACTCATCTAGCTGAGGTTTTTTCCCAGTGTATCCGTCTGCCCTTGCTGGATGAGGCCTTTCTCAATCGGATACCTCCCCCCTTTGCTTGCGCCCTCTCCCTTTCAACAGACTCTGCTGAGGCCAAAGCTCGCCTCACTGGCACAAATGGTTGTCCACAGCGCCTGGGTATGACTGCTTCTGAGATGGTCATCTGCTTTGATGCTGCTCATAAACACTCAGGTAAGAAGCAGACGGTGCCTTGTCTGGACACGGCGACAGGAAGGGTGTTCAAACTCTGCAAACCACCTAATGATCTCCGGGAGGTTGGCATCTTGGTGTCCCCAGAAAATGACATCTACATTGCTGGTGGGTACCGTCCGAGTAACAGCGAGGTGTCCATAGACCATCGAGCAGAGAGTGACTTCTGGCAGTACGAGCATGCAGGCAACCGATGGCTTCCACGTGCACCTCTTCTGAGAGCCCGAATTGGATGCAGGCTTGTGCACTGCTGCGGGAAGCTGTATGCACTGGGAGGCCGTGTTTATGAAGGTGATGGGCGAAATGCATTAAAATCAGTAGAGTGCTATGATGCCAGAGACAACTGTTGGACTGCAGTCAGTCCAATGCCAGTGGCCATGGAGTTTCACAGTGCTGTAGAGTACAAAGACCGTATCTACGTCCTCCAAGGTGAGTCTTTCTGTGCTCAGGGGAACTTATGCAATTATGTTTTTTTTGTTTGTTTGTTTTTATCTGTACAAAATATGTAAATAAAGTGATATTAATACAACAGACATACTGCATATGAAAACAATTTAAATGCATCTGATCATAACTCTGTCTCTTTGTTTCGCACAGGTGAATATTTCTTCTGCTATGATCCCCGTAAGGACTACTGGAGTCATCTGGCGCCAATGAGTGTCCCTCGGAGTCAGGGTCTGGCTGCCTTGTATAAAAACTGCATCTACTACATAGCTGGGATCTGCAGAAACCACCAGCGTACTTTTAATGTGGAGGTCTACGACATTGAGAAGAACACATGGAGCCGCAAGAAAGATCTACCCTTTGACCAAGCCACAAGCCCGTATATCAAGGCCATGCTGCTGCAAGGCAAGCTACACCTGTTTGTACGAGCTACACAAGTCATGGTGGAGGAGCATGTGTTTCGCACTAGCAGGAAGAACTCCCTTTACCAGTATGACGATGAGGCAGACGTATGGACCAAAGTCTATGAGACACCCGATCGCCTCTGGGATTTGGGCCGCCATTTTGAATGTGTGGTGGCCAAACTTTATCCACAGTGTCTCCAGAAAGTGCTTTGAGGTATTTGAATTTTGTGGACCCCGTCTCTGAGGCAGAGGGGGGATAGTGTGGTCCAGCCTGCCTTGTGCCTGGTGTTACCTTGGGTTTGCACCACATGCACCATTTTTGGTTAAGTCTTAAGTTGTTCAACTTCTGGTTTAAAATGATCAAAATGGGGGTGCTTTTAAAGATTGCAGTATTTTTTTTCTTTTTTCAAGAAAGCACCAACTACCCACACTGAGGCTTGTTTAACAAAACCGTACAATGACTCATAAGTGCAATTATACTATTTTTTTTTTTTTTTTTTGCTTGTTGTCGAGCCATGTTGTTCTATTTTTGTGTTAGGTGCATAAATACACCAGTCAGCCACAACGTTAAAACCCCTGAGTTGCAGGGTGGGGCCTCTGTGGATTGGGTTGTATTAGTGCTATCTGTAAATGGTTTTACTGTTGTGGCTGATTAATGTGTGTATGAATTTTTACAAATGATAAGCATGGAACTGAGGGTGTTGCCTCTGGAGATATGGATGCTATGTGTCAGCATAAAGTGAAACTCTATATAGATATAGAAATATACAAATAGTCATATAAACTATATATTCATACGGGTAAGATGAGTACCTTAGGTCATTAGTAGATTGCTGGCTCTGAGGTTTGTGTGGATTTTTTTCCTGTTCTGCGTTTATGCCTCTCTTCAGTTTATTTCATATGCAAGTTTTAATTTGAAGTGTGCTTGTGATTGACATTAGTGTTTTTAAAGGTTGAAAGTTAAATGGTAACTTTTTATTGCCCACTCTTCCTCCACAGGTGTCAGTGTGTCAAACATACACTATGTGCGGCTTCCAGACTTTTTTTTTTTCCTGGTTTGAGTTGGCATCCATTAAGTGAAATGTTAGAATATTCACTCTCCACATTGGAGAAACAAGGACGGAGTCAAATTTGTTGCAACACTAAGTGGCTCATTCAGACCAACAGGTTTACCTCAGAAACTTCAGAGATTTTTGATTAGGAGCAAAGGGACATTTCAGGCCGTTGTGTTGATATAAACAAGTGTTTGCTCTGAGTTTGAGCTCTGAGTTTGTTCTTTGACACCGGGTGATTAAACGCTTGAAAAAAAGGGTTCCAATAGCCTTCCTCGTAATGCCAAAAGAGCATTTGAGGTCTTACTATAGTTGTCGTGGAAGTTGGAAACGGATTTTGTGGTAGCAATAAATCTTGGAACTGTGATTAGGCTATATTACATTGTATTACCTTATTAAAAGTGCATTAATTGTTTTGTGTGCTCGTCTCTGCTAGCGAAGATCAGTAGTACCCATAACGATTGTTTGGCTGTTGGCTGAAGTGATGTGGATTTTTCGTGGAGATCTTTTGTGATGCCAATGTGCCTGCAGCTAGAAAAAAAGGGGCATCAGAATCAAAAACTGTTCCTCCTGATGAAGAATATCTGAAAAGTCTTACTCAGCGTTGCACTGAATAACTCGCCACTTCAGCGGTCCTTAACTGCAAACTTTACGAGGCACCCTCGTAAAGCTATGAATCCGTCTTTACACGTCATCACAGAGGATACAAACTTTTGGTGCTGGTGCTTTTTTCTGTTTTTTTTTTTTTTTTGACAATCTTGTACAGAAGAACGCCACCACTGGAGGGCGTTTGCTGTCAAAGTGTGACATTTTTAGTGCTGTCAGTTTCCTCACGCAGGTTCCTGTTTCATCATTGCACTACACATTTCTTGTGTATTTTATCTAAGCAAGGAGTGCCCTCCTATTAAGTGAAAACATTTTAGCAACCATATAGTAATCATCTTAAGAGATTTACATTGGCATTTAATACAGGAAAAGTCGCATTCATTAAGGACTTGAGGATATAATTAACTTCTCCGAGAGAAGATTCACTGTTGACTGACTTTAACCTGATTTCTAGTCAACCCAGCTTGAACAATGTTTCCCACGAAAAAGGGTCAGAGTGGGTCTGGGCTTCACTCGACTGTCCACAGACAGCCATTTGCGAACCAGGAACGGAGAACTCTCAGGATTTCTACTGATACCCAGTACTGTATTTAAGTTGTTTTTGTTATGTGTAATATACTGTACTATAGATTTGCTGTACTTGCACAGTTTTTTAAAGTTATCTTCAGTTTCTTTTATAACTTGAAAAATAGATGTGATTTCTTTTTGTTGTCTCTAGTGGCTGTTTTGTTTTTTCTTTACATAATTATCTGTTTAGTTATAATAGAGTAATCCTGTTCTGTTGAGGGGGAAAAAAAAATTACCCGCACGAGTGATATATTTTGATTTGCCCCCCTCCACCCCGTAGTACAGTAGTATCTTTGGAACATCTCACTGAAACTAAGCATTACAGTTGAAGTAACTGCATTGTTACAACATATTTCAAACACCAGTCATGTAATACACAAAGCTATAAAACCTGCTTTCTCCTAAGAGTTGGCTGCCCTGTGCGGCCAAACACAGCTCGTTCTGGTCATCTTCATGCATCACCTATGGGTGCTATTCCATTGTGTCTTTTTAATCCATTTATTTTTCTGTTGGTTTTTTTTTGGTTTTTTTGGGTTTCAGGTTATAGTGGTTGTTGAGCTCAACTGTGAAATTCACCTTGCACATAATTTGAAAATAAAACTATTAAAAGTGAAATGTTTTATTTTTATTCTGTTTATTTTTAACTTTCAAGTGACTGAGGCCTTTGGACCTCAATTGTATATTGTTGTGTTCCACTGTGATATTTTTGATCCTAAAAATGTTTCCTACCTTGAACTTCTCTGATACTTATACTGTAGCTGCTGTGTCACAATAGTGGAAAGCTATGCCAGGTCATTTACATTCACTGGACACTTAGTGAGCAGTTGAACAGATGTAACTTATCTGCTCAGCTAATCACATGGCAGTAGTTTAACACTTTGAGACTTGCAAACATCGTCCAGAAGACCTGGTGGACTCTAAACTGAGCATAAGAATGGGGAAGAAGGGTGGTTTTAATGGCTTAGCGTGTGCAATGGTTGGTGCCAGATAGGCTTGTTTCAGTGTTTCTAACTACTGAAATACTGGGATTTTCCTGCATGACCATCTATAGGGTTTACAGAAAATGGCCTAACAAAGAGAAGGTGTCCACTATTGGACGATGCCTTGATGCCAGAGGTCAGAGGAGAATGCCTAGTGTTCTTTGAGTTGATAGGATTATAAAAAAGTAGCTTAAATGATCAGTTTTTAGACCCAAGGTATGCAGAAGAGCATCTCTGAATTCACAACATGTCAAACCTTGAGGCAGATAGGTTAGAAAAGCAGAAGACCGCTCCTGTCAGCTAAGAACAGGAAGATTATGCTGTGTGCTGTGACATTTGGTAGGGTTAGAGTTTGCTGTCCATGGTCTATGCATGGATCCTTTTTGCCCCATATCAACAGTTCAGGCAGCTGTTTGTAGTGTAATGGTGTCAGGGTTATTTATTTATTTATTTTTGGCACATCCTGAGCCCCTTATTGCAACTGAGCATAATTTAAACACCAACAGCCTCCATGAGTATTATTGCCAACCATATCCATCCCTTTATGGCTATAATGTACCCATCTTCAGATGGCTGCTCCCAGCAGGATAATATGCCACGCCACAAAGTTCAGATCATCTTGAACTGGTTTTTTCTTGACTGTACTCAAATGACCTCCACAGTTAGCAGATCTCAGTTCAGTAAAGCACATTTGAGATCAGAAATATTTCCAGCACCTTGTTGAATCTGTGCAATAAAGTTTTAAAGCACTTCTGAAGGCAAGAGTGGGTCCAATCCAGTACTAGAAAGCTATACCTAATAAAGTGTCCAGTCTGTGTGTATTTCACCGGGTAGAAGAGGCGGATCTTGAGTAGTTAGATTATGACCTCAATTTATAATGGGATGGGTCAGATTAACTCATTTTGGCTTGGAAAACGCCTGAAAACCATCATTAAGTATATGAAAACATTTTATGTCTGCCAAAGGTAAAGGACACACAGCCGTAACAGCTTTCTTCCTGTTGTAATAGCTTAGTAGTTGTAGAATTTAGTTTTTCCTTCGGCTGTCATACTGAATGCCGCCGCAAACAGCAGTGTGGCTGAAAAACGCAGAGGAGTTTGTGAATTTAGTGAATCGGATCACCTCGGGCCCATGTGTGCGACATGTGACCAGCAGTCAAATAAAGCAGTAGGCTGGTGAAACTTTGGTCAGGAACTTCGTAAAGAGAGGCTGCGCAGACGCTCAGTGAACGGTAAGATGCAGTCAGGCTTTCTGCAGTATATCCACACACGCTGGTTAACCGGTTTCTTTGTCCACGTGGTGGTGAGTAGCATTCCTGCCCCACTCTGCGCGGAACGGTTTAACGAGACGGAGTGATCGGAAAAGTTAGCTTGGCTTGTAAAAAACTCTAATGTGGAATTACAGTGTCAGACCTTTGGGTCTTGTTGTATTTTAATACGTCTAGGGAAGAAATCACACATTTCCCATTATGATGACCACCACCAACAGCAGCAGCAGTATATTACACAAGAGCTTGCTTTGTTGCGTAGTTTTGCGGGTTATTTCCCCCGCTTCTGTTTACAAACATGGCCGGTGTGGTCTAGCATGTTGCAGAATCTGAAAACAGCCCAAACTTTAAGTTCGGTGTGAGTCCATGGCCCTATTTCAGGAAGCCGGTTTAGTGCAAACTCTGAGTAAGTATACCCTGAGTTAACGAAAACTCTGGGTTTTCGGTTTCACAAAGCGAGTTTAAATTAATTCTGAGTGAGTCACTATGACGACACACTCCGTGAAGCTAACCTGCCCCCTAGCAAGTTTACTTCAACTAACCCTGACTTTCTCCGCCTCTTTGTCGGAAACCTGTAGGAAGTGTCAGCAGGTGTCAGACATGGCGTGCTCCTTCCTTGAAGAGCCAGTAGATGTTGAAGCCCAAATTCTCCGCAGAGCTCTCCGCCGGGAGAGAGTGATTAGAGCGCGTTTGGACATTTTATCATTTCCTGATGATTTTCTGTGTGAACGTTACCGTTTTTCAGCACAATCTATAATTTATTTGAATAACATCCTCAGGCCTAATATTGCTCATGTGACACATCGCGGACATCCTCTCAGTTCTGTACATATTATTTGTATTGCACTTCGGTTTTTTGCAAACGGGAGCTTTCTGTATAATATTGGTGACGCTGAGCACGTTTCCAAGGCTACCGTCTGTCGGGCAGTCAGGAATGTTACAGTTGCACTGAAACGTCTCCTGTACTCGTTTGTGGTGTTCCCCGGTCATAGACCCACAAGATTTATCAAAGAGGGATGCCACAAAATTGCAGGTATCAGGATGAACAAAACTTAATTCATGATGTGGTGATACTTGAACTACTACTTAAATTTTACATTTATTTTCAGGGTTCCCAGGCGTGATTGGCTGTATAGATGGCACTCACATTCCAATCATTGCTCCTTCAGTAAATGAAGTGGTGGTGGTGGAGGACCCCCACCTGTTTTTCGGGCCTCCGCTTTTTTCTGTTGGCTATAACGGGTCACATTTGAGCATACAGAGTAAGCAAATATGTACTTGTAATGTGCTCAGATAATTTCAATAAGTGCTTACAGAAAGAAAATTAATGTAGCCTCTAACTGCAATTGATTTACATCGGACAAACAGACCAAGCACTATGGCTCATGATACAATTACACCTCTACCTGTTTGGACTATATTTTTATATTTCATTTTTACTTGCTGCCAGGCACGTTTGGGGCCTGTTGGGTTGCACCTGCGCTCACATCACTCACAAAATAAAATGTATAAAATAAAAAATAAAATATAATAAATAACGTGTTAAATGGGTGGAAATCCCTAGATCAATGTTTAAATTAACACTCACGCATTGACTCTGTCGGCTATGTTTTGCCATGCATGCTCCCTTTCTTTTGCAGCTGAGGCTGTGTTACTTTTTTTCTGCAAAATTTGCATGTTATCGGCATATGCTGCCATCAGAATTTCGGCCTCAAGCGCTGTAAAATACATTGACCGCGCCTTCTTTCCCTCCGTCTCCATGGTGACTCGCTTAATCTGTGCTCCACTAATCAGGGCTTTATGTATCCTCGTGCGCGCGCTTAACTTGGGGTTAAAGCAACTCCGCGTTGACTGAACTAATTGTTATCAGCCTTTCTGAAACCGAATATTCCGAGTTGGACAGTTCGGGGTTACTCAACCCTGAGTATCGTTTTTCACTCTGAGTTTTCTAAACCGGCTTCCTGAAATAGGGCCCATGTCTCAACTACCTGTCAGCAAGTTTAGAATGATGTTGAGACTTTTATTTTGAAATCCGACTCCTCGTTTTTAATTAATATGCGCTTGTGTGTTTTACTTAGATTGTACTGCTTTGTTCATGCATGCAGCGACTGTAACACTGTGTCCCCCTATACTGTACACTCTGAACAGGAACATGCCTCCTGCTCCAGCAGATGTTTTGGGCTCCAAGCCCCTGGATGGCGGTTGGGGCTGGATGGTGGTGATTGGGGCCCATATTTCCATTGGGTTTGCCTACTCCACACCCAAAGCCCTTTCCATTTTCTTTAAAGACATTCAAGAAGACTTGCAGGCTGGCTACAGTGAAATAGCATGGATTTCCTCTATTATGCTAGCTGCCATGTATGCAGGAGGTGAGTTGACTCTGTGTGTGCTTTATTGGTTAAACTGTTTCTAAGCTTTCCTATCCACATAGTTAGCATTACTGTATGCTTTATTTTTGTAGGGACTTTACCTTACAATATAGAGCGCCTTAAGGCAACTGTTGTTGTGATTTGGCGCTGTATAAATAAAACTGAATTGAATTTGAATAGTCTTCTGCAGTCTGTTTTTGTCAGCTGCGATGCTACATCAATAAACCACTTGGTTAGCATAAATATGATAATCTCAAACCCAGAGCTGCTTGGAATGCAGTGTAGTGTGGCCTCATACCTTTAGGCCATCACACCTTTTGTAGTCAGCACCTCTAAATCAGTACTCTTATCACTACTAGAGAACACATTTGTATTGGCTGGTAAATAATAGCCTGCAGGTTAACCAGACTGAGGTTTTTTTTGGTCTCTTGTTCTTTTGTGTTTTATTTAGTTGTCCTAGGGCTCTGACATACCACGTACACCCCATACTAGCACCGATCATGGTCTGTTGATCAGACTTTCTCTACACCTTCTGTAAGAAGTTGCATCAAGCATTACTAAAGCACAGCTTCAAACCAGCCGACAGCAGACAGATCAGTATTTTGAGAAGTCTGCTCTGTGCATTTGTACTTGGCGATAAGCATCATAAACACAAAAATCCCAGTTTCACAAAGATCGTTTGTGTGGTGTCTGTGTCCGCTGCAAAGGCATGACTGTTGTGTATGGTTGTAATTTAGATTTAGAGAAATACAGTAACGAGTATAACTGGCTTCACATGAGCGACTGCACCCGCTGCCTAATAAAGTGAACGTTGCTACCATGTAAGTCACCTGACCTAAATTTAAGTCTCTTCACTGAGGTCCAAAGAGAATTTATGGAAGTAAGCACCACTGCATGTGACATCTACATTTGGGTTTGTAGAAGTGAAGTCAGATGTCACAAATCAGACCCTACTTAGATATATTATATACTGTCTTCAAAATACTAACGTTGAGAATAAATAAAGGTAACAAAAACTGTATTCTCTACGATTTTGTGAAGACATAAATATTTTATTCACTGCTGAAAGAAAAAAGTAGAATCTTGAGTTTTTATTTAGTGTGATTTTCTTCTTGTCTTTTTTTTTTTTTTTAACCTGAGTTTGTTTGTTAGTATCTGCTTTCAAGGTTGCAGGACAGCACGCTGTGTTACTCACCTGCACTCAACTCAGAGCGGCCTAACTAGTGAAATATTCCCCTCCAATGTGGCTCAGGCACAGGACTTTATCATATTGTCCTTGGCAAGGATTCAACAATGTCACCTAGCGGAGGAGAAGGAAAGAGGGGAATATATCAGAGGAAGGTTCAGCACAGTGGGGTCTGACACCAGGCCCCCATGGGAAAGACATGACAGCCTTTTCAGGAAACCTCTGACTCAACGAGTCACAATGATAAACTTATAATGGAAATGGATACGGTGGTAGAACAAGAGATGCCCTATTGTGACACGGCTACAGCGAAAACGATGATCTATCTTTGACCCTGCTCTGAACCTGTGTAACTGTATAAACAGCTGGGTGGATATTTGATTTCCCATACAGTGTTGTGCAGAAGTCTTGAGTCACCCTTCATTCCTTTATATTTTGCTAGAAAAATGGGACACAGGTGCAGCAATTTATTAAAACATGTCAAATCATACATGGAAATAGAGTATATATGGTAAAAAGAATAAATATTGTATCATTCTAACAAGCATGAATGTCAGTATTTGGTATGACCCCCTCTGTTCTTCACACAGCCTGATCTGTCTTAGGCACGCTTTCTTGATTTCTTTAAGTAGTCTTCAGGAATAGTTCTCCAGGCTTCTTGAAGCTGTTGTTTGGATCTTGGCTGCCTTTTGTTGTTTTCTGTCGAGAGTTTGTATTTTTATTTTTTTAAATTCAGGTATGTTTTTACTGCATTGGAGGTGTGTTTTTGGATCATGATCTGAAAAATGAAGTTTTTGCCAATCAGACACTTTCCAGACGGCTTTGTGTGGTGGATCAAAATCTGTTAATGCTTTTCTGCATTTATTATTCCATCAGTTTTGACAAGATGCCCAACACAACTGGCTGATGTACAGCCCCAAACAATAACAGAGCCTCCACTGGTTGTAGACACTCATTGATCTGAACCAAAAGTTTCACATTTGGATTAATCACTCCATAAGACCTGTTGCCACTGATTTTAAGTCCAGTTCTTGTGTAACTGGGAATACCTCAGCCTTTTCTCCCTTCGGCCTCCCTTAAGAATGCTTTTTCCCTATTTCCCAAGGACACAACTTCTACTTGTCCAGTTTTCCTAGATTTCTTTTTGGACAAACTGCACCATGTTGAGATATGCAAGGTCTTCAGCTAATGGCTCTTTAAGGATCACATTGCTAGTGCAAAAATGAAAGAAATTGGAACAAAAAGATTTAATCTATCACTGCTACCACCACTGAACTACACAGCTAAAAACAATTAAAGGAACAGCTTTTAATCAGAGTATAGCATCAGTTCAGTTAAACTGCTGGGATATTGATTAGGTAAGTAGCAGAGGGGGCTGTTAATCAGTTTCACCCACTTTGGTGTTAATGAAATTAACAACAGCTGCACTAGAGGGGCAACAATGAGACAACTGCTAAAACAGGATACTGCTAAAACTCAGTGATGCCCGGGTCCAGATCTGGGAGGAGATTATCCGCTGTCTCATTAGGAGCACACCCCAACGTTGTCACACATGCATACAGGGTAATGGGGAACATACAACTGAGCATAATTGCTGCATTGTTTTTTCCACTTTGATTTTTGGGGGGCAGGTTGATCACTTTTATTGCCTTCAAATGATGTGTGAACTTTTCATTCCTAACACAGTCCACATCAGAATACGTATCTTTTTTTCCCCCATTGAGATCTGATGAGTTTTCAAAGCGTTCCTTTAATTTTTTTTGTTTCGAGAAGCCTGTGTAGTTTCACGGAGTTTGTCTTTTAGCAATAAGAATATAGAGGTTTTCATTATTCTGGAGAATGACTTGTGGTTCAATGTCACTCTTTCAGGCAAGGTTATGAATGAAGGAAAGAGTGACAGCATATAAAAGGCTTTTTAATTGCTGATTGATCACTGGGTGTAGTGTTTTACATTATCAGGGGAATGTTTAATGAGTTGCCAGGTTGCTTTGCTGTGGAGGTCTTCTGTCACCCTCTGTGATGTCCTTTTGCCCTTGGTTTAGATCAGGGATGCTCAACAGCTAATGTGCAAATAATAATGCTTTTCAGATAAAATGAACAGACATTAAAAAAAACATGAAACTCATATTTTAAGTTATTTATTTTGTTTAATGAGCTATTCATTACAAAATTGTGTGGCAGAATTTAGCCCTATGATCACATGATAAATTTCACTGGTTTAGACCCATCAGTTTACCTTGAAGTAGTAGGTACCCGGATTACTAAAACTTTGGCGACATTAAGAAGTAACATAATACAAGAATGTACTGCTCGTTCTCAGTGCTCATCTGTTTTTGCAGGACCGGTGAGCAGCATGTTGGTCAATCGTTTTGGGAGCCGACCAATTGTCATCATGGGTGGACTGATGTGTGGAGTGTCTATGGTAACCGCATCTTTTGGGAGCTCCATCGCTTATCTCTACTTCTGCATTGGCGTCATTGGAGGTACAGTACTTTTATTCCTAAGCAGTATGTGTTACTGCTGCTTGAACAGGTTTTACTTTTTGTGGTCTCACTTTGGGAATTCATAATTGATCACAGACTAAAACCAAGATATCATGACATACTTGTTTACCATTCAGTTTGCATTCCCATCAATCCTGGTCCCAGTGGGATTGGGATGTTGGCAGTCTGCATCTTTTCACATCCCTTTTAGAATCTCTTGGTTCAGATCTGCTCCCCATAACTAGACTGCCATGCCTTTCCTGAAGGCCCTGGGCATCTGCCCCGGCTCCTAGGGTGCAGTTAGAGCACCGAGGGGACCAGGACCAGGACAGTAATTAAGACAGAACTGTCTCTGATCCCAGAGAGCATGATCTTCCATGGCCCTCTGTACTCTTCCGTAAGCTCCAATCAGGTTCGTCACATGGGGGCTCTCTGCCATCCTAAGAGGCTCATTACCCAGCCAAGGGCCCCTGTGAAGGATTAATAGGCACAGCGAGTGGCTGGGCCATGTGTGGTGCCTGGGGCATGTGTGGGCTCTACACTGTTCCCCTGTGCCTAGTGCACTGACACACAGGCATTAGGCAGTTTTGCCTAGAAGTCATGCAGACATATGCTTACACATACACAAACACCTGCACGTTAATAAAAAAGCACCCCACACACAGCGAAATACATCTCAGAATTATTCCTCCTCGTATACTCCTTCATTCACTCTCTCACTGGTGTTTGTGATGCTGAGAAGCTGGTGAGGTATGCTGTCCTTGTCACTGGAATAATGAATGCTTCTGATTGGTTGGAGCACCTGCCTGGCACCGTTCAAGCACAACACAAGATCACATGAACAGTTTCACGGTTTGTCTCTCTGCACACACCTCAGCTTTAACAATCTGTGTTGCTAAGATTGACTGCATTGGTTATACACACAGTGGACTTTTATTAAATACACCAACTCTTTGAATTTTGGGCTGAAGGAAGAACAACACTCGGTGTGTAAATGCTCAATCAACAATCTCTTTAATCAATGCAATTCTCTTTATTCCATACAACACTTTGAGCATTACAAATGTGCGGACGGGAGATGTGCACAGGAGGGTGTCCGGCAAATCTCGACGTGTCTGACCGTTTCTCACATTCTCAAAGCTTCGGCCCCCCTCCAAACTAAACATTCAGATTCTTTCTTTTTCTCAGTGAGCGTAAGTTATGACCTTGGCTTCCTGTGCAGTATGTTCTGTTCTTTCTAATCAGAAAAATAAGGCCATGATTCTCTGGAAAGAGTGTTTCTTATAAATCAGCAGTATAATGCATCACAAAACAGTTTAATATCCCACACCTGTTTTTCTCAGAATAAACAATCAGTTACAATCAAACAATCAATCTGCTGGTCCCTCTCTAGTCTAAACAACAGTGTTTCAGTAACTTTCTAGAAGATGGTCCCTGTTATCTACTTTCTCCCAGGCAAGCGTGAGCGAGAGTCTACAGCATTCTACCCCCCAAGGACATGTAATCTAATGCCTTTATTTTCAGGGCCGTGTCCACTTAATACTACACTATATGGTTATATGGCATTTTAGTTAATATAAAGCATAGAATTGAGGCACTTCAAATAATTTAATCTCAACACTTTCTAGGATATTTTGATGGTAGTACATATTTATAATTGAACTAAGAGCGTCATTTAAATAGTTTCTATAGTGCTTTTCACACATAAAATGATGACAAGATATATAGTTTGGATCTTGTCCATTTAGTCCGTATGTAATACAAGAAATTTTAAACAAATTCTAAAGTCAACTGGGAGCCAAATTAAAAATGATAAAGCAGGGTTAATGTGAGCTCATTTACTAGAATGTGTTAGTGTGGTTGCAGCATTTTGCATTGCTTGGAGGCGTTAAAGATGTTTTATCTAAGCCTGTAAATAAGGCAATACAATAATCCAGGTGTGACAGCACAAATGCATGGAAAATTCCTCTGTTACTATTTTTGGTACGTCATGATTTGGGGTTCCGTGATCATTTAAAACACACTGTTATGCATTAAAACGGGTACCAGGAACGTAGAAACTGTTTTGCATGTGGTGGCCACAGACCACAGGTTTGCCATAGCATCTCCAGACTCTTTCAGATCTGTCAGATGAGCTCTCAGCGAACCTGCCAGTTCTGATGTTCTCTGGCGAATGCCATTGGAGCTGCACGGTGCTGGTTATGAACACTTCATGGAATCTGTTTATGACACTTTGGTCAGAAACATGCACATGAGCTGCCAGCTGGAGGTCATTTTGCTGGGTCCTGTTCCTTCCCATACAAAGGAGCCGACACCACTCCTGCTGGGTTGGCACCCCTTTACAGCTCTGTCTCCTTGTGTAATGGCCTCCACACTCTTGAGACTGTGCTGGGAGACACAGCAAACCATTTTGAGAAGGTGATGTGCCATCCTGGAGGAGCTGGATTACAAATAAATGGTGCCATGTGGCTTTTTGGAGGTTGCCTTTCCAATGAAGACAACCTGTTGTCACTTTCACTTGCACCAAAACAAGTCTGGCAACAGCTTTAACATATGTTATTATACTGTGATGATTAAGTGTTCCTCTTAAGTTTTAGGGGACAGTGTCATAATTCAGTGACTTGTAGATGTCACATTTATTGGGATTACAGTCAGTCTTTTTAATTTAAAGTCAAAATAATGTGAAATTCCTCATTAGGAAAGAAAAAATTGCTAAATTACACTTTTTATGTCCCCCTAAAAGCCTAATATAGTAAATCCCCGTTTAAATGCATTAAAAAAACAACCAAACAACAAAAACTTTATGCATCGTAAGAATACCCTGACATTAGAGGGAGAAATTCTAAACACCGTAGCTATCTAACTGTAACTCTTCATCTTCTTCAAAATAAGGTCCAATTAGATTAAAAATTTCTGCATAGAAAGGCAAGTGAGTAAATGTATTACCCAGGCTCTCCAATTTATTTCTACTTGAATGGAGAAATTATTTCTGAAATAATTCCAGAGTCCTGTAATGAGATTTTAGATGGCAAAAGTGAAATGAGATGGAACCTTAATGAGCAGCCGGCAGATTTAGTCTTAATTTAATTAAGTACCCTTTGGAGCTCAGGTTCAGTAGGGTTTTTCTTCCTGAGGGTTTTTGGAATGTGACTGAGATGTTTTCAATCTTTCTACATGCAGGTTGTGGACTCGCCTTTAACCTGAATGCATCTCTCACCATCATCAGTAAATATTTTCTGGCCAGGCGTCCTTTAGCCAATGGACTTGCTATGGCTGGCAGTCCAGTGTTCCTTTGTTTCCTGGCTCCTCTTAACCAATATCTACTGGGCACATATGGCTGGAGAGGAAGCCTCCTTATCCTGGGGGGTCTGATGCTCAACTGTTGTGTTGCTGGAGCCCTCATGCGACCTGTTTGTAAGACACTCGCTTGTGCACCGCAGCAAAACGTGGATCGGCCAAATAAGTGCAAGACTAAGATAAAAGGAAGCTGTGTGAAGAACACAAAGAAGTTTGTGGATCTGTCCTTTTTCAGGGACAGGGGCTTTGTCATTTACCTAATAGGAAATGTCATGTTCATCTTTGGAGCGTATGCACCCATTGTGTTCCTGTCTACCTATGCTGTTAGCCAAGGTGTTGAGAAGTACTCTGCGGCCTACCTGCTCTCCATTATGGGCTTTGTTGACATGTTTGTTCGACCCGGCACTGGCCTGGTAGCCAACAGCAAGTGGATCAGGCCTAGAATTCAGTACTTCTTCAGCTTTGCCATGGTTTTTAATGGAACGTGCCATTTGCTGTGCCCTCTGATGAGGAGCTATACCCTCCTGGTGGTCTACGCAGTATTTTTTGGTGTGGGGTTTGGGATGGTTTTCGCCCTGATATTTGAATGCCTCATGGATCTGATGGGAAATCAGCGCTTTCCCAGCGCCGTTGGACTTGTCACGATCGTGGAGTGCTTCCCCATGCTGCTGGGACCACCTGCTGCAGGTAACACATCCTTCATTCATACATAATCCTTTTTCTGTCTTTCTCTTACACAAGTACACATGTTTACTCTTAGATCACTTAAGATTGCTTTACGCTGCTTCTTTCTACAACTGAGGCAAAGAGCAAGGTAATATATACTTACAAACATGCAGAAACACTTGGGGAAAAGAGAAATTTCCACCATTACAGAGGAAATAACCGCTTTCAAGCGAGAGCAGCCTTGCAAACAATATTTGTTTGTTTATCTCTTTCATTCACAGGCTGTGCATTATGTTGCAGTAAAGCTTGGTAACAGTATCATTCCTGTAAGACAGAGCCGCATTATCACGGAGTATGGATGTTTTGTATTGTATGAGACGCCCACACAAAGATGCAGTTCGTCATGGTGATTTCCTGCTGGAAAGAAGCCATCTATGCTCATGGGCACAGGCTTTCATGACATAATGGAGCATCTGGGGCAAATCCAGGCTTCATTTAAAGATAAGAAAAAAAAAGCTGCATTTTATTTACAGTCTGACTTTAACCACAGCTGGAAGAACATTTGCAATAGCAACAGGTTGGGTATAAAGAGCATCTTAGTGAGGCACTCAGAAATACAGATGGGCAGTTTATCAGTAAGAAGCAAACTGTGTCTATATTGTGGAACAATTTCAGATTAATGTTTCTCAACATCAGATTGTGAAGACTTTGAATATCTTATCATTTACAGTACATACTATCATCAACAGATTCAGAGAATCTCTGTGCACATGAGACGAGTGTATAATGCCCATGATGCTCAGGCTGTCAATTAAAAGCGGGCACGATTCTATTGTGACAGCTTTTCACTGCAGTGCCAGAAATATCTATAAACGCAGCCCACTGTAACATCCACAGATATTTCATTGTTGAGGCTTTACGAGGTAAAGTTAGGGTGGTATTGTCTGTATTGTGGTATTATTGATTTTCATTGCAGTTATAAAATCATGTTGCAAAACTGATGGGGAAAAAACAATGCCAAACTTTAAGACTGATTCACTTATGCATGAATCTACATCATAGTGTATAAACGTCACATTAGGAAGCACGCAGTAAGGTTGGGCGATTGGACCCACCGCTCTTGTAAAAGCTTTTGATCGTTTTTACAAGAGCAATTTATTTATTTGCCCACAAGTAAGTTTGCTAATAATGTTGGTTGAAGCTAACAAAAGCAGTCAATGGAAAAAATAATAGCGCTGTTTTAGCAGCACCGTATTCCAGCTGCGAACAAACCCCCCCTCCTCAGAGTCACCCAAATGCAGCGATTCATTTACTTAAACTCATAATAGAAAGAAAGAACGGCAGTAGCCTATGTTCAGAAAAAACAAAAACATTTTTATTTAAATTAAAAAAAACAAACAAACACAACGGTGGGGAGGGAAACAAAGAGAAACTGGATTATTTTTTCCACTATAACCGTGTTTACAGGTCGGTCCAGTGTTTGTCTGTCTTACACACTCAACCAAACAACCAATACAAAATTAAACAAAAAGTAAGTTAAAAATCAAAATATCTCTTCGAGCGAACATAAAAAAAACCCCAAACCCTCAGACGTAAAGTCTTTTGTGAGATTCAGTGCATCTCAAATAAATAAATGATTCAATAATCCAAAATCCTGAAACAAACAAGAAAAGAAGGTAAAGTATTCCCTCCAAATGAAACTTACAAATAAATTCTAAATGCTTAAATCAGTCGGTGCGTGATTACATTCCCCCGCCCATCAAAAAGTCACCTGCTCGAATATATCGCCCGTCGTCATTTATTGGATTGACGAATGTCGGCTGGAAAATTTTTACATATCCCCCAACCTTAGCACACAGTACTACACTGACCACCTGTTCAGCATTTTGGCTCATTGTCCCTGTAAAACAAAAAGAAAAAAGCTACTAACATTACTATGAGATATAATGTAATAGCCATTTTAGCCTAGAGTTGATTTTGCAATATCAGTCAAAGTATTTCCTCCTTTTGTCAAAAAAAAAGATGCTTTTTTTAAATCATTTATTCCCCGACTCTTACTGCTTTTCTTAACAAGTCGAGGCGGACCTATTTTGTCCGATAAATTAGTTACCATCTCCTACATGTAACTTTTTTCTTAACTTGTGGCCATCTTTCTTCATGCATGTAAGGATAGACTACAATACTTGTGGGTGTACGCTCCCTAGTGTTTTCAGAAATTTGGTTTTGAAAGGTATTTATCATTTTTGGTGATGTCTGTTAATAACACATACTGCATTGCAGTGAGCAAGCCATCCTCTCTGTTGTTGCTCAACTTGTTCACCAGTGTTCATACAGGCCTAATGTCCTACATAAACAAGGTGAGGATGTACAGTAGTTTAGCTGAACATGACTTAATCAGCTGTGAATATCATCCTGCTGACAAACGCGTCCTTTGCCTCCAACCTGACTTTTAATGAGGTGAAAAGTTACAGGCCCCCCAGTTAGTCTAGAGCGACCGTGTTCCGAGGCGCTCATTTAATAGGGTAAATAAGTGCCTCCCTGCACGTCTAACAATCTCCTCCAGAGGGCTCAATCGTTATGTCTCCCCTATTCTGCTTGTTACTGCTCCCCCAAACCTTCGGGTCAATCCAATTAGGAGGAAGTGAGGTAAGCGGGTGTAATTACCCTTTTGCTTTGGGTGTTTAATGACGCTCAGTTCAAACTCTCGTCATTAAAGTCCTGTACCTGGGCCATAATTAAGCTGTGAATACATTAAAAAAGAGGTGACTATGCCAGATGGACTTAATTACTGCTTAGCCAATCAAGGGTTGTCTTAATGAGGGTGATGGTCATTGGAGTACAGGCACCAGATGAGTGCTATCAATCAGATAATACAGCCGGCATTGAGATGGTTGAAATTGATCCAAATGCAAAGTGACCCCCTCCTAGTATAGTACAGTACATTGCATTCAGTCACACAAACATTATTTTAACACAATCTTCCACTGCAAAGATGGCAGGTGGTATAGTTAAGGAGATCTGCTAAGGGAATCAGTTTAATTTCCTTATAGTTTAACATCGTCTTTAATTGGTTTCAGAAGGAGACGGTAGCATGTTTGTACTAAATGTGCTTCCTAATATGTTTGACAAACATCAATTTTATAAAACTGGCCTGATGAATAAACACAGTCATCTTTACTAACTAGATGTTTAATAGTGGAAAGAGAAGGGAAGACTCTAGGAGCAAGAGAAAATAAACAGAAACTAATCCTGCTCAAAATACTTCAGCTTCTGAGGCGAGCTGCCATGATTCCATACGGCTTTAAGGGGGATTGTAATGCAGTGAGGTGGACAGTCCTAGATGCCGACACTGAGAGAGATAGCGACATTCGCCTATCAATCCGTGTCTGGAGGGGAAAACGGGGGTCGGGGCGACTTGTGGACTTAGGGCTCAGAAAAGCCGCAGGCTGAAATCTGATCTAAACCACATTTGTCACTTTTCTGCAGACTTGAGCTGGATATTTATGGTTCTGAGAATATGCCTCTCTTCTGATTCGTTTTGGTAGCAGCCATCCAAATTGCCTTCCCGGCAATTCAGGAGAGCCAAGAAGGGTGTAATGGCCCCGTCATTTCCGAGATGGCTCTTCTCAAATTGGCCTATGCTCACTCTCGCTCTCTTGCACGCACTCATAAGCAATATCTGAGTCTGATCTTCCTCTTCACCTTCAAACTTGCCGTCTAGACGCTATACTCTCACTGTGCTGTGTTTTCTTTGATTAGTTTTAAATATTCTTTCTGGCCTCCTCCACACAGGGTTACTGGTAGACATCTTTGGCGACTACAAGTACCTTTTCCTCATGTGTGGCTCAGTCATCACGACTGGCGGGCTTTTTCTCTTCGTCATGAACATCTACAACTACCACATGCTGGAGAAAGAAAAGAGAGCTAAAGACCGAGAGCGTAACCAAACTAACATAGAGAACCAGGAGCAGATGAGCATCTCAGCGGCAGAGATGGAGCAGCCTGAAGCTGAGGAGACGGAGATGAGCGCAGCCCAGCAGGACCCAGAGAGCGCCGAAACAAAATGAAATGTGATTGCTTTATTTAGCGTGAATGCAGCGGGGTGATAGTTGTAGCTGTACAGGTTGATCTTAGCACAGATTGCTTTCTGCTTGCTCGCACTCATTTTTAACAGACTGATTTATTCGTTCAGTCAGTCGGCAATTACTTTGACTTTTGATGAACTGTAAAGTCTTTCAACCAGCAGACAACACAGAGACTACAGCCATGCTAACAGGTTGTATAGCAACTTGAGCTAATTGCTAATATCGGCGCGCAAAGCTGCTTAACATTGTTAAACGTGGAGATTTCTCACTGGTATAGATTTGACTATATTCACCATGTTAGCTTAGTGTGTTTCCTTTTTTTTACCGTAATTACTTTTGCTAATTAGCACAAGGTAGAGCTAAAGCTGATGGAAGTTTTGCTGTACAAGCCATACATGAACAACTTTGACCTGATTATGGCTCTTGATGAAGAATTGAAGATGGTTAACCAATTTTTTTTGAAAGTTTAAAAGTTTTTTTCCTGTGCATGTGAGTTTGTGCAGCCTGTAAGTAAATATCAGTATTGGGTCAAGTTTTTTTTAAATGAGAAATGCATCTTGTTGGAGTACCTGTTGTGTTACCAAAAACGAAACCATTTTTGCAATTCATTCTTGATCCTGCCAGTTATTTTGTTCTGAAGGCACAACTCTTATTATACATTAACCTTTTGATTTGTCTTGATCTACCTCATTGCAAACCGATATGAGTGCCTTTTACTCTGTAAACAACAAAAAGCTGTTTGTTTTTCCACAGAGTAGGATGGGGAACTAAAACTAGAAGTTATTATTTCTGAGTTGACTCACTGGCACCTCTTTATCAGTGGACCTCGCCAGCAGCTGTGTTGTGAAGCTGTTGTGCTTTTTCACATTTCAAGCAGCGCTGTTTGTAGCTGAGAGACATTGTTTTCTCAGACACAGTCTGTGATTTCTTGTATTGTTGTTCTTTTTTCTGCACAATTGAAAAGTGATGCGAATATTTACTGTAAAAAATGTAAATTCTGGAATTTACAGTTTGTTGATCAGGTGATGTTGTCAAAATGATATGATGCTACCCTGTGCATCAAGTTTGGTTGAACTCTTGATGGTTCAGGAGGGGTTTGTGGACAGACAGAGATTTCTGTTTTTATAGTAAGTTACAGCAAATCTCATGTTTTTATTATTTTCCTCAGTATGCTTCGAGGTTACATGACACTTTCTAGAAAATGAGTAAATTATCCCACAGCACTAAGGCCACACAGAGGAAGAAAAACTGTGACAGTGATTCTTAAAATGAAATGAAATTGTATTTTCTGTCTTTTTATATAATGCGCTAGTAATGCAGATGTGTCTGGGATTTTCTTTTTTGTTTACTGGGTTAAAAAAAAGTTACATTTGAGTAGTAATGGATGGAAAAGATGCCATGAATTGCAAATGTGTTATGTTACCCGTGACAACAAAGAAATAAAAGAGCACTGTCACAAAGTACAAAGCTAAGACCTTTAGCTATATGTCAAACTTTAGCTGCTCTAAACAGCTAATTTCTCTCCTGTTTAAATATCAGTCATCTCTTTAACATTCATGGGGAAATTATGACCAGCATGTTTTACTAATTTACAGTCATCTGTCCACTCTGTCAGCTCTCTAGAGGTATGACATTTGTACAACTGCACCTGCCTGGACTCTGGAGCAATGTTGAATTGTGTACTTTCCTTTAAACCTGTGATGTTTTTCCATCGTTGTTTTCACTGTACTGAAAACACTGATATTTTGTTGTAGTATTGCACATGCAGTGATTACATTTTATAACTTCTACTTTCTGTATGTGAAATACTGTGTCTGCTGGTCCATATTTTTCCATTTTTTTTGGTTGGTCTTTGTAAAGTCTGTAAAGTTTAAACATACACTAACAAAGCCCGTTGTTGTAGTCTTAAACTGACTTTAATTCTGTAATCAACAGCACATGATAACACCTTTTTAACCTTTTTAACCGTTTGTCAGTATTTATTCATTTCAAGCTGAATCACAAACTAACGAGTGCCCCAAAATGATGCCATAATTTTGTGTTGACATTTAGCAGTCACATTTATTTTATGGAGAAAATGTTAATCGATTTAATGCTATGTATTTGCTTTTCTTTATCTGAGTAACAATTTTAAGGTTTACTTTTCGAAACTGTTCTGATTCTTTTGAAATTTACACACCAGATCTGACATATTTTTAAGATGTGCGAATTGTACCAATAATGGTAGATGACACTATGTGGTTTATATATGTAGATGATTATTTAGGTCTTCAAATGAGAAAGAAGGATGAATAGCCCTGTTTAATTTCCCTCCTCACTTTTTGCACTATCCAGCGTGCTTTTTTTGCATTTCACTTTCATCCGGTGATGCTCAAGAAATGCCATCAAATCAAGATGTAACGTGCAGCTTTTTCAATGTTGGCGCCTGTGTCCAATTTTTCACGACAATTAGAAAACTGGGGAACAAGTTTGGAAATGTCAGCCGCTTAAGGGTGTGAGCGCCTAATGAACCAAAGCCCGGCTGTTCCAGGCTAGTGCTCCTGTGTGCGGCCTCACACGCATCAGCAAATCAGTGGGCCAATAAATTAGAAGTGCACAGGCGAGTACAGATACACACGTGTTTGCTATCTCCTGTCCCTTTGCTGAGTATTATACAAGGTCTTTGGACATGACAAGGTGGAAAGGTACCCGAGAGACGAGGCTGCGGTTGCAGCGGCCAGGAATCCGTTTGTCATTATTATATTCACTCTCACCTCGTGCTCCCCTCTGGCCTCCTGACCCTCCTCTACAGGCTGCCCTTCTCATAATGTTTGTTCCTGTGGAGTTCCATAAATGTTGTCCTCCATGCCCAATGGTAAAAAAAACACAAGACTTCTGGATCTCCAGAGGGTCTTGGAGGTGGTCCAATGACTAGGCAATGCTGGGTGAAAAGTGCTGTGGAGCAAAAAATAAACAGCCGTGAATAAAATGGCTTGAGGGTAGTTTACACTTCTGCATTGCTGTTTAGTAATTTCACAGTTAATGCAATGTTATGTGATCATGATCTCAATAAACACGGGCTACGTCCTTACTAAAGGGTTCTTTTGGTGTTCTTTCTCCTTGCATCATGGGTTTTAGTGTCTTGCCCAGTAGATCTCTGTCTGCTGAGGTTACAGCAAAATGTAATATAATTGCAAAATAGCTGGAAACACTAAGTAGCATCTGTGGCTGTAAATGTAAACAGGAAGAGTAGTGCTAGTGTTAGAGTGCTTCTTCCTTATCTGTTTATGACGACTACAATTAGAATGCATCTGCTTGTTCTAAGTGTAACTGGCAGCTCTCAGTTACAGTAACTGTCAGTCGGTGTTAAAGAGGTAGCGAGCTCAGGAGTGTGTGAATCTAAGTGGGTATCACTCTTCATAAAGCATCCTACGTACGCCACGAAACGTTCTTAGACTGGCGTGTGAATGCTGACGGTCAGCCGTTCTCTTGACCTTTGGATCTGTGCAAATCAGATCCTAGTTGTTTACAATAGGGGGGGGGCTGACCTGATGAATCTAGTGGTCTTACACAAGCGAAAAGTTGGAGACGAGCAGGAAAGAAAGAATGTACTCCCGAAGGGCTCAAAGAGCACTGGCATCTATCAACAGAAGAAATTGAATGGGATGTTTCGGAGCAGCAGAGATTAGATAGACCCGGGGTTGTTGAGCAAGCAGAGGCACCCGATGTAATGGTTTCCTCGCTGCAGTGAGATCAAACTTATAGAAGGCAGCGAAGGAGGACAAGTGTGCACACACATAAATACACAGACACACTGCGAAGCCTACAGTGGCCTTTAGGGTTAAAGAAGAGATGTGGCGCATGGTTATTTGCTCAGGGACTGCACTGTATGGGATGAGAGAAGATGACACTGGAGAGGTGCTATTTTCACATTAGCCACATTTTCATTAGCGCATGCAGACGCTAGGTTTCTTGTGATTGATTTCAAAAGTTAATCAAATCAGAGAGCTTATAGATCAAGTTTAATCGAGTACAACTGGAAATACAGTGCTGTGCAAAAGTCTTGAGCCACAGTTGAAAGTTCTCCAGGTCTCTAAAGGTTTTCTTTGGATATTAGCTTCTTTTCCCACTTATTTTCAGTCCAGTTCCTGCATCTGACTATTTTTAGAGTAATGTTTTTTTTAACCACTTTACACTAAATCATTCAAAGATAAAAAAAAAAAAAAGGCACCTAACACAAGGGTTGAGGCAGTGTTGTGCTGACACATACCAAAGAACGCATTTTAAATTGCATCTTTAGGCACTTTGTTACGAGCAGTTTGCAACAAGAGGACATCATCTCTTGAATTAAATCTACAAAAACTGTCAAGGATAACATTCCCAGATTTTCAAAACTAGTATTTTTGCACCAACAATGTGATTCCCAAAGAGCTGTTAGCTGAAACATTATATTGGCATTGTGGACAAACTGAGCATGTGGAGGACAAAAGAAAAAATAGCAGGCCTACAGCAGATGAACAGCATCTGAAAATGATGTCAGCAAGAAATAAATACCAGAAAAAAATACCAGACACAGGAACTGAGAGATGCATCTGATCCTTGTGTTGATCCATCGACTGTCTGCTTAAGCCTCTTTGGAAATGGTTTTATTAGAAGGGGAAACGGGGAAAAAAGGCTGAGGTATACATCAGAAAATCAGTGGTCTGTTGGAGCGATGAAGCCAAATGTGAAAATTTGGTTCAAATTGCAGGAGGTCATTAGAGAGGTACAACTGTCAATGTTTTGGCTGTACTTCAGTCAGTGCTGTTGGATACATGAGCAAATATGAACAGAGAAAAGTAGAGTCAGATTTTATTCACGTTTCAACTGGAAAGTGTCTGATTGACAACTTCAGCTGCACAATATTGTATTATAACATACCGACGACAAACCTGGGTTTTCTTTCCTATGGTTCATATTCAGTATAAAAAAAATTAAGCGTACCTATTGGGTCCTGAAAGTACCACAGTTATTCATTAATTCATTCAGCTGATCCAAACAACGGTCTGATGGGGGCAATTTTCCCCTACGGCACATTTTGCTCTCTTCTATGTGACAGAGAACAGACATTCCCATTGTCTAGTTGTCACAAAAAAAATTGGGGGAAAGATGCAAAAGACAAATAGGGAAATGCAAGTCACAGGATAACTGGTTCAAAATAAAGAATGAACACGCCAGAAAAGGGTGAGAGAAGGTAAAAGAAGGGGCGTTTGCTACTTGGGGAAGTAAAGCAAACCCCTTTCCATCCATCATCCCTGTCTCTGTCCCGTCGACTGAGCAGGGGAGGTAATGAAAGTAATTTAATGTGTATCTATAATTAATATGCTCTCTTTGGGCGGTGTGGTTGGGCCGAACGGGTGATAGAGTGTGTTTATTATGCGTGTGAGGGAGCTGGAGTGACGGGGCACTGGGCCACTGACATGGTAATTCACTAGCCATCACTCCTGCAGCGCCGAGGTCAGATCGGTGCAGCTATATGTGGCACCACTGGCTCAAGCGTTCCCATAGGTCCATGTAGAAAGTGGGTTTTTGTTCTTTTCATCTCGTGTCTATTCCGTCTCTCTGAGAGCCTCCTGAAGAAAGGGGAGAAAGAAGGCAAAGCACGTAGCAGCGCCCCGGGCCAGTGTTCTCCCTCTATGTGTCCCTTTTTCCATCCCTTTCTTACCCTCCATGTATTTCACTCACTTGCCTTCCAGTCCACAACTTCCCTCCTCTCCCTGCTCCCTGCTCGGTTAGTAAACCCCCTGTCTTCACGTCTTCATAGCTCCACCACTACTTCTTTATATCCCCTAAAATTTGCTCCCTTTCTAAGAAAACTCAGTGAATGCACTTCAGGAATTAATTCTTTGCTTGTCTTTTTTTTAAAAGGCAGACTGCTTTGCACAAACACAGTTCAAACTCGGCTGCCCTCAGTGCTGTCTCCTTTTGAAAGTGCCTGCTCTTTGAATACCACCCGTTTGAAGAGAATGCCCTCTGCATTTCTTTTACAGTCACTCAGGCATGCTCTCAGAATCTTTTTATTACACACATTAAACTTTTTGCAACCACGCCTGCATACATACTCAGATTCGTACACTTATTACACCAAATTAAACACGCGTGCACACCTAGCGCATAGAATTCCATCCGTGTAATCTCTACAGACACTCTCTTTACTTTCAACTCCAAGTCCCTCATTTGATTTCTCTGCTTCTCTCTCAGACCGCACTTATATGCATGTCCTTACCTCGGCTACTGGCTATTCTCCAGTAAAGGTCTAATTCAGGTTAAACTGCTTACATGCAGCTTTTAAACCGTACAGCTGAATATTCCTGTTGCAAAGCAGTCATATGGCTGATTCTATTAAAAACAATCACTAAACTTTAGCTAGAACCATATCAAGGCATGCAGATATAATTTGGTTTACTGCTAGAAAACAGTAAGATGAAAGTAAGAAATTTATATCTTCACTAACATTGAATAAACAGTAATTCTCAAGTGCGGTATAACAAAATAGCTATGGATTGAGTGTACTGTGCACAAAGGTTGACCGCAATGAACAGCATCAGGTAAAAGTTTGAGATCTGATCACACAAAATACAAAGCTGTAAGCTATTCATGTTTGAAATCATTTATAACCACAGTAGAATATGGTTAGAGTCTGCTGTCTAACATTCAAGCTCAGTCAGTAATGAGCAAAAATCCCTGCAGAGCCCACAGGTGGGCACTTCGGCAGTGGAGTGGCTGTAAGAGCAGGGAGTGTTGCAGAGCAGGGCAGCACCTCAAAGGGAGAGGGTGGAAGTTTTTTTGACTTCATTTCAACATTTTTCATTCTTTATGTTGAAAATTAAGGTTAATTACGTATAACTAAGGTTAGGGTTAAATAACAGGCTGTATCACAGGCTGTTATTTAACCCTAACCTTAGTTAGGGTTAAATAACAAATATAATAATAACAAATATCATCTTTGCTGATGGATTGCAAAGATGGGATAGAACCCTATTTGGATGTCCACTGAACTCACCAAATGTTTTTTTTAACCCAATAAATGGTTAAATAGACCACCAAAGTCTGAGGATGTGTTTGGCATCTAATGCGAGGAGACTGAGGCATGTTATGTGCATGTGGAGCAGTGAAAATGGAGTGAAATGCCTTAACTAGCTTGCAGTCTTCAGACTCCAGATCATTCACCTCAGTTATTAGTTTGGTATAACTGTGTGGATATTCTGTACTTTACCTACTGCTATTCTCAGGCATCTGTTTAATATACAGTAGTTTAAGTCTATTCATTTGTATTTGGTGCCAGCTCACAACAACAGTCACCTTAAGGCACTTAGTAAGGTAATATAAAGTGCACACTACAAAGAAACTCACAACCCCTATAAGCAAGCACTTGGCGACTTTGGGAAGGAAAAACTCCCTTTTAAGAGGAAGAAACCTCCAGAAGAACGAGGCTCAGGGAGGGGCGGCCATCTGCCATGACTAGTTGGGGGTGAGAGGAAAGAGGAAAGAGACAGAATAAAAGAAACATTATGGGAGAACCAGGGTTTAATAATTACTATTTATTAAATACAGTAGTCGTGTATAAAAACACAGCTAATAAAGTGATGAGTGAAGAAGAAATGCTCAGTGCATCATGGGAATTACCCCAGCAGCCTGAGTCTATTGCAGTATAACTAAGGGAAGGTTCAGGGTCACCTGTTCCAGCCCTAATTATAAGCTTTATCAAACTGTTTTAGGCCTAATCTTAAAAGTATGTTTGTCTCCCAAATCCAAAGTGAGAGCTGGTTCCACAGGAGAGGGGCCTGAGAGCTGAAGGCTCTGCCTCCCAGTCATACTTTAGGAACTACAAGTAATCCAGCAGTCTGACAGTGAAGTGCTCTGTTAGGATTATATGGTACTATGAGGTCTTTAATACATGATGGGCGCTGATTAATCAAGATGTGAGGAGAAGGATTATCAATTCAGTTCTGGATTTAGCACAGAGCCAAAGAATAGAAGGTAATGTGGGACAAAAAATGATCTCAGTCAGTACTCTCGCTGCATCAGTTGAAGGCTTGATTGTGCTCCTTT